GGACCAGATGGCTTCACATCTGAATTCTATCAAACCTTTCTTTCTTTCTTTCTTTTTCTTTTTCTTTTTTTTTTTTTTTTTGCAGTTTCTGGCCAGGGCGCGGTTTGAACCCACCACCTCTGGCATATGGGGCTGGCGCCCTACCCTTTTGAGCCACAGGCACCACCCTATCAAATCTTTCAAGATGAACTAGTACCTATATTACACAACGTTTTCCAAAGCATAGAAAAAGAAGGAATACTTCCCTACACATTCTATGAAGCAAATATCACCCTGATACCCAAACCAGGAAAGGATCCAAGAAAGAAAGAAAATTATAGACCAATATCATTAATGAATATCGATGCAAAAATATTCAATAAAATCTTAGCAAACAGGATTCAACAACACATCAAAAAAATTATATACCATGATCAAGTTGGTTTTATTCCAGGGTTACAGGGTTGGTTCAACATATGCAAATATATAAACATAATACATCACATTAATAAAATAAAGAACAAAGACCATGTGATTCTCTCAATTGATTCCAAAAAAGCCTTTGATAATATCCAGTATCCTTTCATGTACAAAATTCTTAAGAAAATAGGCATAAAAGGGACATTTCTTAAACTGATAGAGGCCCTCTACAGCAAACCCATAGCCAATATCATATTGAATGGTGTAAAATTGAAAACATTTCCACTCAGATCAGGAACAAAGCAAGGATGCCCACTGTCTCCACTGCTATTCAACATTGTAATGGAAGTCTTAGCCATCGCAATCAGGCAAGAGAAGGCGATCAAGGGTATCCAAATAGGGTCAGAGGAGATCAAACTCTCATTCTTCGCTGATGACATGATCCTATACCTGGAAAATCCCAGGGACTCAACTTCAAAACTCTTAGAAGTGATCAAGGAATACAGCAGCGTCTCAGGATACAAAATCAATACTTGCAAGTCTGTAGCTTTTATATACACCAACAATTGTCAAGCTGAAAAAACAATCAAGGACTCTATTCCTTTTACAATAGTGCCAAAGAAGATGAAATATCTGGGAATTTACCTAACAAAGGATGTGAAAGATCTCTATAAGGAGAACTACGAAACTCTCCGAAAAGAAATAGCTGAAGATGTTAACAAGTGGAAAAACATACATGCTCATGGCTGGGAATAATCAACATTGTTAAAATGTCCATACTACCCAAAGCAATCTAATGCAATCCCTATTAAAGCACCATTGTCATACTTTAAAAATCTTGAAAAAATAGTACTTAGTTTTATATGGAATCAGAAAAAACCTTGAATAGCAAATACATTGCTCAGAAATAAGAACAAATCAGGAGGTATCACATTACCAGACTTCAGGCTATACTCTGAATCTATAGTGATCAAAACAGCGTGGTACTGGCACAAAAACAGAGCAGTAGATTTATGGAACAGAATAGAGAACCAAGAGATGAACCCAGGTACTTATTGCCATTTGATCTTCGACAAGCCTATCAAAAATATTCAGTAGGGGAAAGACTCCCTATTTAACAAATGGTGCTGGGTGAACTGGCTGGTGACCTGTAGAAGCCTAAAACTGGACCCCCACCTTTCACTATTAACAAAAATTGATTCTCACTGGATACAAGATTTAAACTTAAGACAGGAAACTGTAAAAATATTAGAAGAGAGGGCATGGAAAACACTTGAAGACATTGGCCTGGGAGAATATTTTATGAGGAGGAACCCCCTGGGCAATTGAAGCAACATGGAAAATATGTACTAGGACCTGATCAAACTAAAAAGCTTCTGCATATCCAAAAACACAGTAAGTAAAGCAAACAGCCTTCTGAATGGGAGAAGATTTTTGCAGGTTATG